GGCCGGAGGTTATCTGTGGCTGTGGCAATGATGATGACCCTTGGGATGATACCTGTTTCTGTAGCACAGATGATGACCCTTGGGATGATATCTGTGGCTGTGGCACAGATGGTGATCCTTAGAATGATGATGATTGCAGACGTGACTTCTTTCTCTAAGATAATTGCCCTGGCGGGAATGAACGGTCCAGACGGAGCTGGGATATTCTTTGCTCTGAAGGATGAGGCATCCATCAGTCTCAGGAGACTATGGAGTTGCGCTCTGGTGTTTGGTCTGGAGTGGCCTCTCCAGGACGCAAAGTCCTGAAGTCTGAAGACAAAGTCTGAATTCAAAATCCGATGTCCTGAAGTGCGACCCAAGGGGGAATTAGGTATCTGACGGAGGTGGAAAGTCCAGGGAGAGTAACAGAATTACATATGGGGCGCCACTGGCGGCTCGGGGAGGAAATATGTATATAATAAGGAGGGTTTCTCTAGGGTAAATAATATATGAGTCAAGATAACACCTCCCAGGACGCACCTGGACCCCGCTGTTCATGCTCCGGCGACTCTACCGTAACCTAGGTACTTAGAAGAGATTCCATCCTAATGTTTCATGTATATGGTCGCAGAACCTATTGGTCACACTCTTAAACTTCGTATCCAGCAAACATCACATCAAGTATTTGTTCATTTGATGCATCACGCTATTGTGATTTCTGTGTGTAATGAAGGTCAAAGAGGTAGACTAGCTTACTGACAGAGCTCGGGTGCATGGGGGAAATTGTGTAAAAACCTGGTTTGTGTCTCGGAGAGACTGCAGGATCCGTGGGGGGTCAAGTTGATTTCTCGGTTGCAATTCTTTTATTATGTCGTAGCTCAGTCGATTAAGACGCGTCTAGGATCTTCTCGGACGTAGGTTCGAACCCTCATCACGGCCCTTGTGGATTTGTTCATTACGTCTGAATCCCACTCAGACGCTAGTCACAACCAGTATGGAATATGATTGGATCCCATCGGCGGGTCGCCAGGAATATTCAAAGAAACTTAACTTAGAATCTGCCTACTGACTAACACGCTTCACAGTCGCATGAAATCCGCTCGAAACAATTCTTAAACATTAGTTTCAATTTGTGGTCTTATATCCTTACTCTGGGCTCGAGCACAGAGTATAATTTATACGAATGCATCCGGGGACACCGACGCAAAGGATCTCCTTTACATTTTCGTATTTATTTAAAATGTAGGTAAACAAATTTTAATATTAAAAGTTGATTCATATACAAATAAAATAAGAAAAGATTCAGATAAGTGTTTTTTTCATCGTGCGGCACAATTTGAGCAGACATGAATCATACCACCACCGGTGCTAAACTCTGATGGAGTTACAGCGGGAGTGATTGTGCTTCGTGTGGAAGGTTGCCGGTGTGTGTGTGTACTCACCTAGTTGTACTCACCTAGTTGTGTCTGCAGGATCGAGCATTGACTCTTGGATCCCGCCTTTCGAGCATCGGTTGTTTACAGCAATGACTCCTGTCCCATTTCCCTATCATACCTGGTTTTAAAATTATGAATAGTACTTGCTTCCACAACCTGTTCCTGAAGTGCAATCCATTTTCCCACTACTCTCACGCTAAAAGAAAACTTCGTAACATCTCTGTGACTCATCTGAGTTTCCAGCTTCCATTCATGTCCCCTCGTTCTGTTACTATTCCGTGTGAACATTTCGTCTATATCCACTCTGTCAATCCCTCTGAGTATCTTATACGTTCCTATCATGTCCCCCCTCTCCCTTCTTCTTTCTAGTGTCGTAAGGCACAGTTCCCTCAGGCGCTCCTCATACCCCATCCCTCGTAGCTCTGGGACGAGTCTCGTTGCAAACCTCTGAACCTTTTCCAGTTTCATTATATGCTTCTTCAGATGGGGACTCCATGATGAGGCGGCATACTCTAAGACTCTGCTTATACTCTGTGTATGTGACTCTGCTTAAGACTCTGCTTATACTCTACTCATACTCTGTGAGTGTGTGTGTGTGTGTGTGTGTGTGTGTGTGTGTGTGTGTGTGTGTGTGTGTGTGTGTGTGTGTGTGTGTGTGTGTGTGTGTATGTGTGAGTGTGTGTTTTGTCCTTTTGCTGAAACCTTTAGTGCAATGCCTTGTTTTTATATATACTGTTTTGACATGTTTCATGTATCCCTTACAGCTGTATTTGATGTGTCACCATGTAGAAATAACAGACAGCTCAATACTCATCAATCAATCTCTATGTCCCTTTGTCTTCCTCTTTATGTATGTATCTGTCTCTTTTATTCCATTCTCCCTATTTCTGTCGCTTTATGTCTGTTTCTGTATTCAACTAATTATACTCACCTAGTTGTGCTTGCGGGGGTTGAACTCTGCTCTTTCGGGCCGCTTCTCAACTGTCCATCAACTGTCACTAAGTAACTTTTGCCCGAAAGGCTATGCATATTAGTGACTTTAGGTGTTGTATGTACTAGCTCTAGCTATAAATCCAACATTATGTTAGTAACTCTTCATCAGTGTATGTTCTTTTACCTGAATAAAAATTTGAATTTGAATTTTTTTTTTACTATTTTTTCACACACACACACACATACTCTTAGCAAGCAGCCCGTAGCAGCTGTCTAATTCCCAGGTACCTATTTACTGCTAGGTAACAGGCTATCAGGGTGAAGGAAACTCTGCCCATTTGTTCTTTCTGCGGTGCTCGGGATCGAACCCTGGTCCCTATGTCCACGAGTCTAGAGCGCTGTCCACTCAGCCACTAGCCTCTCCATGTACTCACCTATTTTTACTCACCTATTTGTGCTTGCTGGGGTTAAGCTCAGGCTCTTTGGTCCCGCCTCTCAACTGTAAATCAACTGGTGTATAGGTTCTTGAGCTCTATCATATTTATTCCTAGGCTCTATCATATTTACGCTTGTAACTGTGTATGGAGTCAGCCTCCACCACATCACTTCCTAACGCATTCATTTTTCTCAACCACTCTGACTCTAAAAATTTATTTCTAATATCTCTGGCTCATTTGGGCACTCAGTTTCCGCCTGTTTCTCCTAGTGCGTGTACCCCTTGTGTTAAATAGCCTTTCTTTATCAACCCTATCAATTCCTTTGAGAATCTTGTATGTGGTGATCATGTCCCCCCTAATTCTTCTGACTTCCAGCGACGTGGCGTTTAATTCCCGTAGTCTCTCCTCGTAGCTCATACCTCTCAGCTCGGGTACTAGTCTGGTTGCAAACCTTTGAAACTTTTCTAGTTTAGTCATATGCTTGACTAGATATGGACTCCATGCTGGGGCTGCATACTCCTGGATTGGTCTGACATATGTGGTATACAAATACCACATGTGTATTGTGACGATAATCTCTTTCAAGAGAGATTGAGCCTGCTCTTCCCTACTTCAAGAGGCAAAACGTACCCAGAATCCCCCCACTCCACACGCCCTCCACACGCCGGCTCGTCATCAAACCAGCTAACTACCCTTCACCAGCTTGCCTGCACCTGATTGGTGACTCGCCAGCCGCGCACCTGCACACCGCACCTCGGCGCCCTCTACCCGAGTCGACGCCTGAGCCTGACCAGCTATCAACTTCAGAATATTCCTTGTCCTCTTAGCGTTGACATCTCTCTCTGGCATACTAGCTCATTAGCTCGTATACGAAGGGAGGTTTCAGCCATAGCCGATATTCTCAGCACCATTTAAACATTATTTAATCAATTGTGTTTTTTGTATTTATCTTTGTCATTTTATTTCATTAGTCATTTGCCCGAGATTTGCCTTTATTTTCATTTATGTTTAAACTAAATATATTAAAATTTCATTGTTCATACTTTGTGTTTTACGTGTTCCTCCCTCTCACTTACCACAGACAACAGGCAAGCAGTCTATATATTTGTTTTTAAGTGTGACCAGGCTTTGACACCTGCCATTGGAGGACTGCCGAACATCAACACTCCAACACATTCCCGTCACAGTATACAAATGTGTGTGTGTGTGTGTGTGTGTGTGTGTGTGTGTGTGTGTGTGTGTGTGTGTGTGTGTGTGTGTGTGTGTGTGTGTGTGTGTATGTTTGTGTGTGTTCTCACATAGATGTGCTTGCAAAGTCGAGTTAGATTCCTAGCCCCGCCTTACGAACGTTCTTAGATTAATGCAATGACTTTTTTAGTATTTATTTTTAAAATTTTGACTCGAATTTTCTTCAATGACTTATATGTTTAATCTGTTCCACTTACTGACAGCTCAAACACTGAAAAAGTTCTTTCTGTGACTCATTTGCTTTTCAAATTTCCAAATATGACCACTCGTTCTGCTGTTTCTTGCTTTGAACTACGCTGCTTTGTCTACATTGTCTAGGTCCCTTAGAATCTTATATGTTGTTATCATATCTCTCCTTTCCTGCAGTCTGGTAAGGTCCAGTTCTCTGTCTTTCCACATAGCTCAATCCCTTCAGTCTTGGGACGAGTCTCGTTGATATCTTTGGCACATTCTATTTTCTCCTTATCTTTCTTAAAATAAGCGTTCCATGTTGGAGATGCATACTGAAGGTCTCACCTTCGCTGTATATAAGTCCCGGAGAGGCCTTTGTCCAACCTTCAGAAGGATACACGGATGTTGACCAGTATGCCATACTCAGCTGTTATTATTATGCTAATGTGGCTTCTAGCATCAGATTTTGGAGTTATGTCCACTCTCAGGTCATTTTGCTTTTCTGACCGAAATTATTGTCTTCCCTTCATCCTATACTGCTGTACTGGCCTTCGGACTCCTGTTCCAATTCTCATAACTTCTCATTTGGCTGGGTTAAACTCTAACTGCCACTTTTCAGACCACTTTTGAAGAGTGTGTTCAAATCCGCTTGCAATTCATCACAATTTAATGCTAGGGATGGAGTCCCTAACGTTCCCCGTTCTATTTCCCTCTCTTCTGCAGGGGCAAACGTGTCTGGGAGGAAATCTCGGATCAGCAGACTACGACTAGAAATGACCAACCCGTCTATACTCACCTGTTGAGTGTGCTCGAAGTCAAGAGGCTGAAGCAGCGAGAGGCGTCCTGTGAGAGGGTCCAAGTGGAAGAGGTCACCGTCGTTGCCTTCCGTGATCCTGTACTCCACCGCCTCACCTACGACAGAGGAAGAGATACACGTACAGTACAGGGACACCTGAGGCATTTTTGGCAAGATGGTAAGGGATGTATGGCTGTGAAATACCGAAGAAGAATCATGTTAATACATATATTATATATTATGTGTGTGTGTGTGTGTGTGTGTGTGTGTGTGTGTGTGTGTGTGTGTGTGTGTGTGTGTGTGTGTGTGTGTGTGTGTGTGTGTGTGTGTGTGTGTGTGTGTGTGTGTGTGTGTGTGTGTGTGTGTGTGTGTGTGTGTGTGTGTGTGTGTGTGTGTGTGTGTGTGTGTGTGTGTGTGTGTGTGTGTGTGTGTGTGTGTGTGTGTGTGTGTGTGTGTGTGTGTGTGTGTGAGTGTGTGTGTAAGTGATTTTATTTTGCGGAGGATATTTTAGTCACACTGGTATGAATAGTGTCATTTATGCACGAAGATAAAACCGGAGAAGTTTCTGGTCGCAGGACCAGAAACTGAGGAAGAAACAGTACATAGACGGACTCAACTGTCCTCTGGATTATCAACAGTGTCTGAAGTAGGAGTCACCAGAAAGACCCACTTAGCTGTTGAACCAGTACCAGTGCCTGGAGGAGGACTCACCTGAACAGTGGACCAGTACCAGTGCCTGGAGGAGGACTCACCTGAACACTGGACCATTACCAGTGCCTGGAGGAGGACTCACCTGGACTCTGGACTAGTACCAGTGCGTGGAGAAGGACTCACCTGGACACTGGACCAGTACCTGTGCCTGGAGGAGGACTCACCTGGACTCTGGACTAGTACCAGTGCCTGGAGGAGGACTCACCTGGACTCTGGACCAGTACCAGTGCCTGGAGGAGGACTCACCTGGACTCTGGACCAGTACCAGTTCCTGAAGGAGGACTCACCTGGACTCTGGACCAGTACCAGTGCCTGGAGGAGGACTCACCTGGACACTGGACCAGTACCAGTGCCTGGAGGAGGACTCACCTGGACACTGGACCAGTACCAGTGCCTGGAGGAGGAGGACTCACCTGGAAACTGGACCAGTACCAGTGCCTGGAGGAGGACTCTCCTGGACACTGGACCAGTACCAGTGCCTGGAGAACGACTCACCTGGACTCTGGACCAGTACCAGTGCCTGGAGGAGGACTCACCTGGACTCTGGACCAGTACCAATACCTGGAGGAGGAGGACTCACCTGGACTCTGGACTCTGGCAGAGAGTCGCAGCAGAAGGTCGCGGGTGGTGTTCTCTGGTACTTCAGCGAAATACTCTGGACGCTGGAACTCCACCGGGTCGCTCCCCACCAACTTGGTCACTGCCGGAGAGAAAACCAGTCCGGGGTTAGTGGCTGTCTCGGGGTGAACTCTGGGAGACAGACAGCCAGACAGACAGACAGACAGACAGACAGACAGACAGACAGACAGACAGACAGACAGACAGACAGACAGACAGACAGACAGACCTTTTGATTATTGGTAATTTTCTTAAGGATATTTTCCATTCAACATAAATACCTTCTACCAGTAATCACTGCAATCTGATCCTCTGTATTTTTAATCAAATACTGAGACTCATATTACATCCTAAGATTAGATCTACATATTTGTCTTTAAATTAAAATGTTTTAAAGGGACACAGGAGTGTACATTGGGTACATGCCATCAACCTACTTTGTAAGTACAATAATTCCTGCAGGATGGGTTTAGTGTACACATTCTGATCACGTGACCTGGGATTATCAACAAACGAGTTAACTCTCATTTTTAAGATAAGTTGGGTTCTCTTATTGAAGGTTAGGAAAACTGTTGCAGGTTTTATATAGTGGCTAATCAAGAGTGGTGGCTGGTGTATGATACTTGTGTATAGAGGTGGCTGGTGTATGATACTTGTGTATACAGGTGACTGGTGTATGATACTTGTGTATAGAGGTGGCTGGTGTATGATACTTGTGTATAGAGGTGGCTGGTGTATGATACTTGTGTATAGAGGTGGCTGGTGTATGATACTATTGTATAGAGGTGGCTGGTGTATGATACTTGTGTATAGAGGTGGCTGGTGTATGATACTTGTGTATAGAGGTGGCTGGTGTATGATACTATTGTATAGAGGTGGCTGGTGTATGATACTTGTGTATAGAGGTGGCTGGTGTATGATACTTGTGTATAGAGGTGGCTGGTGTATGATACTATTGTATAGAGGTGGCTGGTGTATGATACTTGTGTATAGAGGTGGCTGGTGTATGATACTTGTGTATACAGGTGGCTGGTGTATGATACTTGTGTATAGAGGTGGCTGGTGTATGATACTTGTGTATAGAGGTGGCTGGTGTATGATACTTGTGTATAGAGGTGACTGGTGTATGATACTTGTGTATACAGGTGACTGGTGTATGATACTTGTGTATAGAGGTGGCTGGTGTATGATACTTGTGTATAGAGGTGGCTGGTGTATGATACTATTGTATAGAGGTGGCTGGTGTATGATACTTGTGTATAGAGGTGGCTGGTGTATGATACTTGTGTATACAGGTGGCTGGTGTATGATACTTGTGTATAGAGGTGGCTGGTGTATGATACTTGTGTATAGAGGTGACTGGTGTATGATACTTGTGTATACAGGTGACTGGTGTATGATACTTGTGTATAGAGGTGGCTGGTGTATGATACTTGTGTATAGAGGTGACTGGTGTATGTTACTTGTGTATAGAGGTGACTGGTGTATGATACTTGTGTATAGAGGTGGCTGGTGTATGATACTTGTGTATACAGGTGACTGGTGTATGATACTTGTGTATAGAGGTGGCTGGTGTATGATACTTGTGTATAGAAGTGACTGGTGTATGATACTTGTGTATAGAGGTGGCTGGTGTATGATACTATTGTATAGAGGTGGCTGGTGTATGATACTTGTGTATACAGGTGACTGGTGTATGATACTTGTGTATAGAGGTGGCTGGTGTATGATACTTGTGTATAGAAGTGACTGGTGTATGATACTTGTGTATAGAGGTGGCTGGTGTATGATACTTGTGTATAGAGGTGGCTGGTGTATGATACTTGTGTATAGAGGTGGCTGGTGTATGATACTATTGTATAGAGGTGGCTGGTGTATGATACTTGTGTATAGAGGTGGCTGGTGTATGATACTTGTGTATACAGGTGGCTGGTGTATGATACTTGTGTATACAGGTGGCTGGTGTATGATACTTGTGTATAGAGGTGGCTGGTGTATGATACTTGTGTATAGAGGTGACTGGTGTATGTTACTTGTGTATAGAGGTGACTGGTGTATGATACTTGTGTATAGAGGTGACTGGTGTATGATACTTGTGTATAGAGGTGGCTGGTGTATGATACTTGTGTATAGAGGTGGCTGGTGTATGATACTTGTGAATAGAGGTGACTGGTGTATGATACTTGTGTATAGAGGTGGCTGGTGTATGATACTTGTGTATAGAGGTGGCTGGTGTATGATACTTGTGTATAGAGGTGGCTGGTGTATGATACTTGTGTATAGAGGTGGCTGGTCTATGATACTTGTGTATAGAGGTGACTGGTGTATGATACTTGTGTATAGAGGTGGCTGGTGTATGATACTTGTGTATAGAGGTGGCTGGCGTATGATACTCTTATATAGAGGTGACTAGTGGATGATACTTGTATAATGGAGGTGAAGAGTAATTTAGGTGAGTTCGTGTGATAACAGGTTCTTTACATTTCAATTGAATGTGAATAGGTTGGAAATATTTTCACTTATCCATATAATGTAATGAAAGCGTGTTGGTGAGGCGAAAACTGTCGCTGGCCTGTTAACACCTCAATGTTAATAATTACTGATCTATTCTGGAGATGTTAAGTCTAATGACTTTAATGCTGTTCACCTTATTGGCGCATAATTCTCTGTAGTGTAGTGGGAAACTCCAGTTAATGATTAATAATCGTGTTAATGATTCCTAGGCATCTTGGGGTCACCAAGAATCACTCTTATGGCTTTAATTTGAATTTTTTCACTATTTTGTGACCTGTTTTGTTGGGCAGGTGTCAAGGGGTCTGGAAACTACAGAAGGCTTAAGTCTGTGAGTTTGTTGGTCTGTTCCTCAGACACTATGAATCTGGTTCTATATTAGTATGTGAGAGAGAACTATATAGTTTCACGTGAGGTATACGAGCTGGATTCGGATATAAACCTCCTAAAAGAGTTCTCTGATTGTTGCACCAGACTGCTACTTGTATACAGGCGAAAACCATCCCCAACCACTTCCTGGCAGAACAGCCGACCTCGGCAACCACACTCCCGCTACCGTCAGTCGACCAGCAATGAACACTGGAGTGCTTGCAATTTATCTGGGAGATCACCCAGTATGCACCTTGATCTTGGAGAGAGGTTCAGCGTCGCCAATTTAAGGGTGCGGCTCCAAAACTGGCCTTGTTGTCTTGTGTACACACCCTACTCGAGCCGCTGTGACTCCCCACTCTCTCCTTGCTTGGAATGATCTCCAAAATCGCCCTTTTGTGAATTAGTGTCTACTGTCACCCTATTCGCAGCCGTGACTCTCTCTCTCTCTCTCTCTCTCTCTCTCTCTCTCTCTCTCTCTCTCTCTCTCTCTCTCTCTCTCTCTCTCTCTCTCTCTCTCTCCCTCCCTCTCTCTCTCTTTCGCTTTCTGCGAAACCTCACCAGGACAAAAGCAAAAGCCAGCTAACATACAAAACATTTAATATATCAATGTTCATAAAAGACATCTAATAAGCAATAGGATCATACAACACTCCAAACTGCAGCAACCTGATAACACTCCAATATCATATCCTTGCTTCACAAATGCCCATATCATGTAGCTGTACAACTCTTGGCTAACACTTACTACTCCCTCACTGCTTGGGGCTGAAATCCTATCACACCAATACTGTATCCTTAACCCTAAACTTATATGAAACTCTGCTAGAAGCTGAAATACCTGATACATTTACATTAGTATCCCCCCAACAAAAGAAGAAATCATTCTCTCACCTTACACTGTGTCTTACATGCTAATAAACATTCAAGCACTCCCCTTATACAATTATGTGTCCACTATGAACCTCTGTTCTGCTCCTAGAGGCTCACTAATCAATGCATATATCTGGGTCCTACAAAATACCAGGAAAGGCACTTCTGCAGTTCTCCTAATCTGCTGCACAACAAAGTCCTACTCCAACATCAGTGACGCTTCTCCACTGATTTCACAAAGAAACATGTCGCTCTCCTACACTGCTTGAAGTCAACTCCTCACTATGGAGTTCTGCTCGACCACAGAGTTCAGCAAACACTTCTTCTCCAGCCTCGAAGTTCCTCCATTAACTTCTTCCCAGACAAATCGCAGGGTTCTATGACGTAGAGTGCTCAGTCCCTGGTACTCAACATGGCGCTCACACAGGTTGCCAACAAAAATCGCTATATGACTGCTTCACAAGGCTTCTTCTAGTCCTGACTTGAGTACACGGAGTCGCCTGGCAGGCTCCACACAGGAACGCCTGCTTACTTCCTTCCTCTTGAAGGCACACAATTAGAGTGCCACAAAGGTGCGACCAACACTCACTTCCAGGTCGCCTCTAATATATCCAGATCACAGAGAAATATTGTACTATGTCCCCTACAGCTTCCTTACACTTGAAAGCAAGTAGCCTTCACTCCAGCACTAACACAGGGAACTATGTTCTTCCTCCTTCCAGGAGATCAACGAAATACGACCACCTATGACGACTGCTGTGACTCAAGTGAGGTCTTATTGTCCTGCTTGCATCACGTCATGTCACCAAAGTATCGACATCTCATTTCATGTCACTTATTTTAATACTCATCCTCTACTCATATTCTTAAATTATTCACTGACGTTTATTATATATTTTCTTTCTCTGACCTCTTAATCTCAGGTCCGGAAAGTAGAATAACTCTCACAAGGGTAGACTCGCTCAACCCAGGCTACAGGGGTCATAACACTCCACTCCCTTTATTTTTTGAGAGTTATTCTCAGTGGTTAGGCTCATGATCAAGCATCAGCGACCACATTATCTTGTCCTCTTATATGTCTTATCTTCAGATTATATTGTTGAATTAACAGGAACCACTTGGTTAACCTCAGATTCACATGCTTCATCTTGCTCAGGAACACCATGGAATTATTGTTTGTATACACAGTAACTATGTGTCCTTCCCCACGTACATAAATCTCAAAATGTTTTAATGCCAGGACCAATGCCAAAGTCTTCTTCTCGACCGTACTGTACGATCTCTGATGCTTTACAAACTTCTTCGAAAAGAAAGACACGGGGCGATAAATTTCGTCCTTCTGCTGCGTCAGTAAAACTCTGGCCCCTACATCACTGACATCCACGAACAATGCAAACGGTGCTCCAAAATCCAGAGATACTAACACAGGCGCCTCAGTCAATAATCTCTTGGTGTTCTCAAATGCCTCCTGTGCTACTCCATTCCATTCCCACTTCTTATTCTTAGACAACAAACTTGTCATAGGAGTGGCTACTGTGGAAAAATTCTTACAAAATTTCCAATAATATCCGATCATTCCTAAGTACTTCAACAACTCTCTCTTTCCTTTGTGTACTGGGAAATTATCGATGGTTTCAACCCTCGATCCCATTAGAGCAGCTTTACCTTGCCCTACCACACAACCTAAGTACTCCAGTCGTGCTCTTCCAAACTCACTCTTCGCCAAGTTAATTGTCATATTGGCCCTCTCTAATCGGTTGAATAAATCCAGTAGT